GGGTTGAGACTCCTAACTGCTTTTTGTCATGTGATTAATTATTCAACTCTACATGTGTTAACTCATTTAGCAATAATGCTGAGATTAGTAGGCTTTCCTCCAGTTTATGAGGACAAAGAGGTTAAGTCATATTTGCACACGGTACCCAGGAGTTAGAGGCTGAATTTAAATTTAGGGCTTCAGACTCCAGGCTTAATGCTCTCAACCATCTCTTTCAGAAAGGGCTGGGGAGAGGAGTGAGTGGAGGTGGCGAGAAATGGGAGGCAGAAACTGCACAGATCAAAGCTGTGGTCATGTAGGGGAGAAGACAAAAGGAACAGGGAGCTGAGGGCAACTAGCTTTGCTAAAAAGGGTACCAATACTCAACAATGTGAAATTTCACCTCTAATCCTTCCTGCTATTGCTAATTCTTTTTTAATTTTTCTCTTGTATAGTTCAATGCCACATCCTTATTTATTTATTTATTCCTTTTCTTTTTATTCCATTGTAGATTCTACCATAGAAAGTGAACTGGGAAAAGAAAACAGTATCAGAACCAACTGGTGATCAGCTTCCTGGTTTGCCAATGCTAAGGGGTTTTGGTGGGGATAAAACAATTTAGGTCTAAAAGCAGGAATGTCCCTGGCAAACTATGTCTAGTTTGCTCTCCTTAGTGTATGTATATGAGGGAAAAGGTTCTAGGGCGAGACAGAGAGAAAGGAAAATAAGGAGATACAAGAATTCCTCAGGAGCTGTAAAAGAAAAATCCCTGTGAAGTGAACTTCAAGCAACTGAGATAGATTTTGCACCTTAAACTCAAGTGCTTTGAGAATATTAAGCAAAAGTTTCTGCTTGTTCATTTTTCCCAAGTTCTTAAGTTATGTTTAGCCATATTAAATTTGACCCAAACCCAGATCACTAGGCTTTTAGAGTTTGGGGGAATGTGGGAAGTGACTTTAATCTGATGAAAGCAACTAGAAAAACAACTGTTAAAACTTTCCTATCCCTACAGGAAAGAAATGTTTTGTTCAGATTACTTGATGGCATTTTATATTGTTTTTCCTATTTAGTGACTGAAGGAATAAGTTACATTGCTGTCAACATAAATGTCACAGATAATGAATAGTTTCTGTGATAATTATCTAATTATATATTTGCTGAGAAACTGGTTGAAATACTCTGAAATGCTATGCCATCTACAATATTGTGGTTTGTAAGCACAGACATATTCATTATCAGTTGAATTACTATCTTTCTCATCTTAAAACTATAATTGGTGTAAAGTTCCTTTTCTAGAATTTTTAAAATCATTACTAAATGAATTAAATATTGTTGGCCATTACTGATTTTAAATGAGTGTTTTCCTTTATGAAAATGCATTTTGAAGAAATTCACAAAGGAAAAAAATGCCAAAACTGCAAAAATGTTTGAAGTTCTTTATTAATTGTCTAAAGGTGTATTAAATATATTTAAAAAATATTTTCAGAGATAAATAAAAATTGTGTTTTAAATAAACTTCCTAGAATGCTCTTTATGGAAAAATTTTCAAGTTAGAAATATGGAATAACGTTGCAATCTGTCTAGGTAAAGCTATACAGAGCCACCAAATAGAAATTTGAAATGCCCATTATACATGATGCTTTTTAATTAAAATTCTACATTATTAAGAATAGAAAAGCCAATGTTTCTATTATTTTCACACTTATATTTCAACTATTTTAAACTATGCTCAGTGTCTCATTATTTCTCTTAGATCTACAAAACAACTTACTAATTGTTGGTAGATTCTATTGTCTTCCTACAGTTCCCTTGCTCCATATTTTCCAAATGCCTGAATATTATCCTGGGTAGAGAATTCACATTTAATAAGACATTCTCCAAAGTCAACACTGATGAAATTTTTATCAGTTAAACTATTCTGTGCCAGAAACTATTCATGACTCACACACCAGCAGGAAGAGGGCCTCACTTTCTGGTAGGTAGAAAATGATCCAGTTACAGAACTCCATCTCATTAAATAATATTACAGACCACTTCTAGTGTCCATTCTTCAAGGAAGCAGAAACCCCAAATGAGAGAAAAACATTATTATCTGTGAATTATAGACAGACAAGAGGGATAGGAAAGTCCCTGAATAGCCTCAAACTGTGCTGAAGGTGTGACTCCTTTGAATGGGGAGAAGGAAGGATAAGCCTCATGCAGCAATGCTGTTCTGAGGAAGTCTCAGATAGCCTCATAGGTAGTTGGCTTCTTTCAAAGACTGATGGTTGAGGAGTCTGGTGTTGCCTTAAAATGGTGGCTTTCTTGTCCCACTGACATACTCAGTGTTGAACAGTATCCAAGAACATGAGGCCTTGGCTCCAGGTTGAGACACAGCTCAAAGTCACCTTTAGATTAAATTTTTTTTTTTTTGAGAGGAGATCTGAAAATAAACTTCCATGACTACCTATATACCTGACATAGAGTCATTTCAATAATTTAACAAAAACTTTCATCACAACACAAGGTAGCTAGAAAAAAAGTAGGAGATTGAAGAAAAACACCAACACCTTTTGAGATTATTTAGTGTGTCATAAACTCCTTTTCACAATTTGCTACTTTTCTCACTCTTCTATTCCAGTTTTTATTATAGTATTTTTAATGAGGTAACATTGCTTTATAACACTACCAATGATTCAGGATCTATTCTTCTTTTCAAATTCTTCTCATTTTATCCTGTTCTGACTGAAAAAGTGCCTTCCATCTTCATATATTCTTGAAATAAAACATGTCATTTTATTTTCTCTCTTCTCATAGCTGTGATGTTTTTATGTAAAAATCTATGTTTTCTGTTCATTTTTCTAATCAGAGAAATTCACTAGCCAGCATTTAAAAAAAATGTTTAATATGTACATACACATCTGACTTCTGAAAGAGAGCAGATTATGAGAAATAATAGAAATGTACTATTTGGTATCTTAGCTCAAAAGCCCACAGTCAGCTAATCAAAGGGACAAGTTAGGTTGTACCTTTTCACCCTTGCTTCCTTCCATCTCCTGCTATCACAAAAATAACAGATAAAGATAGCATCCTCTCTCCAGTTTTTTTAGTTTCTGCTAAGAGAGATTAATTTGCCAAGATGAGAGGATGTTGATATTCATGAAAACTAGCCTCTTGCCTAGTTAGGAAAACTTTTCTTATCCATATTACTAGATAGCTTCCTGCTTCTTTATTGTGGTAAATAATTTTGTGCTGGGTGAAATATATTGTTCATTCTGTTGTTACCAAGGCAAGCATTCCAATCAGAAAATAGGAACATGATAAACAGCTTATCTTCTAAAAGATGGAACGATATGACATTCCATATCAAAGTACTAGCCAGCATTTACTAAAGATATTCATGAAAGTAATTGCAAGTGTCTGATTTTCCTTTTCAAGTGAACACTCAAAAAATAATTCTGGGTGGATGTGGGATCTGATTGTTTCCTAGCAAAATGATATCCTTATCCAAATATCAATGTCTTAAACTGTTAAATACATTTAGTCTTATGATCATGTATTTGCTTAGTTCTTTACTATCATATGCTAAACATTTATGCAATTTACACACCAGAAATTTTAACTGGATCTATGACCATGAAAGTTGATGTCACTCATTCAATTCTATCTAAGGTGTGTGGAGGGGGGGGGGGTAACTAAACTAAAAATTGCTGATTGTCCAGAATAAAAAGGAACAATTAATTTTGTGCTAAGCAGGTGGTGCTGATATATGACTGGGGTGCTGATAAATGACTGGCTATGACAAATGCTAAAACCAGATAACACGTTCCTTGGGTGAAGACATTCACCTCTTTTGACGAGTTCGACTTTGCATTGTGGCTTTATATATCTCACATACAACCAATTAGTAGGTACAACCACTGTTCTTGTTTTTCTCACCTGTCTCAAACCTGGCTCTTCTTCTTAAACAAAACATGACTAATGGGTGTTAGTTGGAAACATGTGCAATTATATTGATCCTCCTAATTTGACTGCTCCCTTGGAACACTGAAATAAAAGCCTATTCATAGTGAACACATACTCCCTTGGAAATATGAAATGAATTTCTTCCATTAAAGTACTGAGGTGATCAGTAGAGAATTTGCCAGAATCTCTTTCCTTTAAGTATGTTTATTCTTTGGTCAGTTTTTGTGCTCAATAAAAGCTAGAGATGACCCAATATGGAGGCCAAACCATGAGTGGCAAGAGCAAAGAAAAATAGTAACATCATCTGTTTGGAATGTTAGTTCCTTGAAAACAAAGGAACCTAAAACATGGTGAGGTGACTGAGTGAGGTGGTGGCGCAGGCGGTTGAGCGCTGCACTGTGAAGCTGTCCACAGCCTCTGCAGCACGGGTTCAATCCCAGCCGGCTGGCGAGAATCCCACATGGTGCAGCAGACCTCTCCTGTCTTGCCCACTGCTCCCCTCAGCAGTGTATTTCTTCAGTCTGCCTGTTCTGTTCCCTGATCTGTCTCTGGTGAATCCGCTCACCCTCCCATGCATCTGGCCAGTACCCCGGTTCTTGTATAAAAATAAATAAATCTTTAAAAAATAAATAAAATAAAATAAAATAAAGGCCCTTTCCTGACTATTGGACATACTGACTGGGGGCTTTACTAAACTCTCCTGAGTTTTAACTTGCTCTTCTGTTTAAAGTATCAATAATACATTTGTTATGGGGTTGCATTAAAGATTTAATTCAATAACTTATGTAAACATGACATCATAATGCTCATTTTCCTCTTCTTCTTTTCTACTATATATATATATATATATATATATATATATATATATATATATATTCCTTGGAGAATAATATGTTCAAATATTTTGCTTGTTTTTCTTTTTTTGTGTTTTTTTTTTGTTTTCTGATGATTGAGTTTTGAAAATTCTTTATATATCATGAATATAAGTCCTTTATAAGATATGTGATTTGTGACTATTTGTTTGTTTGTTTTTGTGGGCCCCTCGCCGGCGGCTGGAAAACAAACCGTCGCTGCAGAGGCTGCGGGCAGCCCCACAGCCCAGCGCTCAACCGCTGCGCCAACAGGGGAGGCCCTAGTTTGTTTTATTATTCTCCCAAGATGAGAAAAGATCCTGGACTCCAGTGACTTTGGTATCTACTTCACAGAGGAAGACACATTTGTGAGTTTCATTGAGCAAAAGTATGAATTCAATTATTTTCTATTTTAATAATACTAGAAGGGAAAATAATTACTTTAGAGAAGATATATCTCCCATATGTACTTTAGTGCTGGGAGAATTATATGCATTTTTCAAATTTTAAAAAATGTTTAGTCATCAATAAAGAGAGTTTAGTCATCAGTAAAGAGAGTGTGTGAGAGAGAGAGAGAGAGAGAAGCAAAGCATTCCATATAAAAGGGGGCAGTAGAAATTGGGAAATTTTCAGTAAATGTTCATTTCTTCTTTATTGTGAAAAAATAGTATACATTTGTTTGCTTTGTATAATATCATCTTTAAAAATAAAGATTTCTTTGCTTTCTTTACATCCTACTACTTCTTGACTTAGAATAGGAATATGACATTCAAAATGTCATGCATTATTGCCAGAACTGGGAAACTAAAGCTTATCAGCCATGTATCGTCTAAATTAGGAGTCAGCAATTCTTCCATGGAGGTCCAGGTAGTAAATATTTTAGGCTTTGTCTTCCATGGGGTTTCTGTCACAGCTACTCAAACTCTGCCATTGTAACACAAAAGCAGTCATAGATAACATGTAAATGAACCTGAGTAGCTGTGTTACAATAAAACTTTATTTATGAAGACAGTGGGCAAGCTCTTTTCTGTCATTGGGCTGTAGTTTGCCTATAGGTATTCTAGGTGTGACTTTTGAAAACATCTATAGAGTTCTGTGATTTTTTAATCTTTTTGCTTTTCCTACTTATGTCTGGCAATCCAAAGAAGGGCTCATTCATAGATGCGGTATTGCTTCTCCATCTCTGGATTTTCATGACATCGAATATTGTACTTTTGTGACCAAAAAAAGATATTAAAAGATACCCTGGCTAAGAAATAACTCAACTGTACCATGTGATATGTGAAAGTTTGACTTGTACAAGGCTGGCTTTACCCAGGCTGTCTTTTAGAGAAGGTAGTCTCTGTGTGAGCTTAGATAACAATTTCACTAGGGATAAAAGAAATATTTTGTCAAATTCAGCACCCAAAATGGTTTCGTTATTTTAGAATATAAAACAATTTGGTGATTAGCTTTGTTTACATTTGGCAAAGTGTTGCTTCCTTTTTTGAGGGGGATAAAGATAAAAAAAAACTCAAAAATTTCAAAAAGCTTTTGACTTCAAATAGTTCTTGCAAAACTGCATTTGGATGAGTTAAGTGTGGAGGAATCAAAACCATATGGGTTATGCTTTTTTTAAAATAAACATGGATTTTAAAATTGAGGAAAAATTCTTGGGAATGTAGGCTTTAGTCTTCACAGACTAGAAATAGCACAAAATAAAGTTAAGAAATTTGATAAACCCAAAGCACAGCTGGGTTTACCCACTCATAATCATAGTATTTTCCTTGCATATCATATAAAAATAAACAGCTTCAGGAATGGCCTACATTTTGATACTTTATAAAAGTAGGTGGATTTTCATTTATCTCTTAGGCAACCTTTGCCAAATCCTGGATTTGAGGTAAATCACATTATAGTATTTGAAATGTTGAAGTATTAAGCACTTGCCACTCATCATATTTTATTTTCAAATGTCCAGTCTTTGTCCAAAATCAGAATTAATGAAATATTGAGAAAAACTGATCCATAATTCTTGTAAGGTGATTGATGCTGATATAAATCTATACATCTAAATATTTATTCATCAAAACATGATAATCTGATCTCTTTATTTAATTCGGGGACTTTTTTTCTGGATAGGTTTATGCTCACCACAAATAATCCCAACCAAGGTTTCTTGGCCAGAGTCTTAATTCAAATTAAATCAATTCAAATGACCATTAATTTATTCTCTACCATGTTACAGGAACTTTGTTAGGTACTAATACTAAAACATAAGGAACTATAGTCTCTTTGAAGAATAAAATGTGAATAGTAGTTAGGCAAACTATTACAATGCGATGTAACATTCATGTAACATATGAATACATAAATTATTATGATGCCAGAGGGAACATGATAGTTACCTGAAGGACAGAGTGATGACTTTGTATATGAAAAGACATTTGAATAGAACCATAACAGATCAAGAAGAGTTTGCCTGGTTTGATGAGGTGAGAGAGAGAGAGTGAGAGAGAGAGAGAGAGAGAGAAAAGCAAAGCATTCCATATAAAAGGGGGCAGAAGACACCACAACAGGGATAGTTTGGGATAATCTGGAGCATCTTTGTGTAGCAGAGTATAAGATGGGTGGTCTATGGTCAGAGAAAAGAAGAGGATGTCAGAGCTAAGCTATGTAGAAACAGCCTTTATGGGTAATGCAATGGTGTCTGGAGTTTATGGGAAAGTTAGGAAGAGTTTATGGATACTAGAATCCATAAAAACTGAAAAACAAAGAAAATGCAGACTGAAAAACAAATAAACAATGTCTATGAACTGTGGGATAACTACAAAAGGTACAACATATTTATAATGGAAGTACCAGAAGGTGAAAGAAAGGAATAGCAGAAAAATATGAAACCGAATGACTGAGAATTTACTGAAATTAATGTAAGATTCTAAACAACAGATTCAAGTTTCTCAGAGAATTATCAGGAGGAGCAATGCCCCCCTCCACACACACATACTTCTAATACCAAAAAGCACATATATTTGTAAGTATTATAACCTGCAAAATTATACCCATTATACCCTGCAAAATTATCCTTCAAAAGTGACAGAAAAGAAGGACTTCCCAAAGCAAATAAAATTAAGGAATTTGTTCAGTAGACCTGAGTTAGAAGAAATATTAAAGTTCTTTAGAAAGACAGAAAATAATATAGGTCTATAGGTTTAGAACTCTGATCTACATAAAGGAAGGAAAGGAACTGAAGAAGGAATAATTGGAAGTATTATAATTTTTTTTGGTTTTCTTTATTCTTAATTGATCTAACACATAAGTATTTTTCAAAATAATAACACAGTGTATTTAATTATAAATACTTACAAATATATGTGCTTATATATACATATATATAAGTGAAATATATAACAGCAATGATACTAGTAACAGGAGGGGGGTATTAGTATTATTTTGTATGTAAGGTATTTAGAAGGATGCCTTGGTTCAATCTCCTCTCCCTCCTTCTTCCTCCTTGGGTCAGATGATTATTGCATTGGGACAAATATCCCAGCATCTTCTAGCACCTTCTCCATTTATTCTTCACACAGATGTTTTTCCTAATAAAATCCTTGCATATTTAATTCTTTCTTGGTATTTGTTTATTAGATGACTAGAATTATATTGTGAAAGAGTCCAATGAGAGAGTCCTTTCTTTCTAAAGACAGTTATTAATGTTTCTCTCTTCAAAAGGTCAAACTTGCTAACAATCTTAAATGCCCATTTACATTTTCAAAATGAAAAAATGAAATAAACATATAAAATATGACCTTGCATGGTTGCTACAACTGCACACAGGCTTAAGTCCAGACTTTAAGTCTATTTCATATTTTCATACATGGCCTCCTATCTATTCCACACCACATAATTACCTCACATTCTAAATTGACTGGATTTTTTTTTTTTAAATATTTATTTATTTATACAAGCACGGGGTATAGTCAGAATCGCGGGAGGGTGAAAGAATTCACCAGAGCCAGATTGGGGAGCAGAATAGGCACACCGACGAAGTACACTGCTGAGGGGAGCAGTGGGCGCGGCAAGAGAGGCTGCGTGCCATGTGGGACTCTCGCCAGCGGCTGGCCGTGGGCAGCTTTGCAGCTCAGCACTCAACCACTGCGCCACCTGGGAGGCCCTAAATTGCCTTGATTTTTACCATTTCTCAATTATAACCTGAAATGTATGTATTTGCTAATTTTGTCTGTATAAACTGATAGTATTTATGATTCCAGACACACAATTCAAGACCCATCTGAATGGTTTCCTTAGCTTCTGTTAATCTCTTAAGCAAGACTATCACCAAAGCAAATGTTTCATCAAAAGGTATGCCCATGAGTAAGTAGTAGAGTAAGTAATATCTCTAATAACACTCTGTTCTCCACAGTGCTTAATTGAGACATTGATACCTTGTAGATGCTAATTTAATGCTGATCAGTCAATAAAAGATAAAGAAAATAGAACATTTTTTGAAAATAATGCAATTTGTGTTTAAATCCCAGCTCCCTCACTTAGTTAACTAATTTTTTTGACATTCCTAAAGTAAGGATAATTTTGACATTCCTAAAGTAAGGATAACCTTCATTTAATAATACAGAGATTTAGTGGAAAGTAAATGAGATAATCAATTTATTTTCATTCATCCAACAAACTGAGCACATTTAATGAGCCAGGCACTATGTTAAGTCTTGAAGACACATCAGTGAACTAGGGAGTTAGAATGCCTAACCTCAGAAAACTTTGGTTTTGTTGTGTATAAAAACAGTAAAAAAAAAATAAATCAAAAAACTCAGGTCATCATAAATTTTATGAAGTAGATATGCAGGACACTATACTAGATAATGAAGGAAAGGGAAGGTACAGACTACAGTATTTAGGGAAATTATCTTTGAGGAACAGCTGAATAGGGCCTAGTAATAGTACATACTCTTTATCAGTCAGGGTTCCACCAGAGAAACAGAACCAGTGGTGTGTATACACACACACCCCCATACACAAACACTATATTGCACAATTATTTCTCAACAAAAAAAGAAATACAGGTATTTCATTTAGACACAAAATCATCTAGCTGAAAACACACACACAAAATGTGTGTGTTTGATTTCATATATATATATTTACACACATAAATTATATATGTATATAGAAATTTACTCATAAAATTATATATAAGTATATATAAATTATATGTATAAATATATGTAATCAACAGGACTTAATGCAAGGATTTGGCTTATGCTATTAGCTAGCTTGGCAAATCCAAATCCCATGTGGCAGCCTGGAAGCTCTAGAGCTTGAGCGGAAGCTGAAGTCATGGGTAGAATTTTTTCTTCTTCAGTGCAATCTCAGTTTTCTTCTAAACACCTTTCCACTGATTATATCAGGCCCACCCAAGTTACTGAGCGTAATCTCCTTCAACTAAAGTCAACTGATTCCAGACATTAACCATATTTACCAAAAAGCTTCACAGTAAAGATGTATGTTTAATTGAATAACTGGACACTATACATTACCTGAATAGGCACATAAAATAGAACATCACAGGTTCTAAGATGTTAATTCCTTTACCAATTGCTTAATTTAAAGCATACTTTTGAGGATCTGGGTATAGGATTAACTTTCCAAAGAAAATTATTCTCCTAAGGTTTTCAGAACACATCTTATATCAAAATCACAGTCAAAGAAAGATGTTCAATTTTTCTGAAATGAAACACTTTAGTTACTCTTTCCTGTTAAAAGTTCCTATGCTATGATAGCTGAACAATTGAATTCAAGGCCATTCATTGTTCTAAAATGGAAAAATAAATAGTAGAAAAGATTTCATTGCTCTAAAACACTCCACAGGCAGCTCAACTATCCAATATCTTTAAATGATTAGTAGGAAACAACTCTATTTCCTTGAATCTTCTTAATTCAAAATAACATTTTAATTTTCATTTAATATTGATTCAATATCCATGGAATCCAGGTTAAAACTGAATTGAAAGCATATGTATTTTGCAAGTAAATATTAATAAACATTTAAAATTCAAGTTAAAATTCATTATAGGAAGTCTGTTAAGCAAATCATATATAAAAAAGAACACAGAAATTTAAGAAATTATCCTTCTTTGTCTAACATGTATGCTCTTTTTTTTTCTCTTCTTCACATGAAGAGATCATTTTAGTCAATGGATATTTGTTTCCTTACCCCCACCCCAACCCTGATACGTAAATTCCCAATAGTAGGATTGACACCCTTGGTTTCATAGTGTGGCAGGACCTTGGTATTTCTTGACAACTTTGTCCTCCTGGGAAGCAAGGAGAACCATAATGTGCAGAGTTCCATAAAGATGTCAGATACGATATGAATCAAAGACAGCAGAATAGCCTCTAGATTCACTGCAATCTATTGTTGATTAAGTCTGTCTGCCATATCCACTGGAAACAGACTTTCACTTAAGCTTGACATTCTCCTTTTGGGTGTGAAGGAACTTGCTTTAGTACAACTGCTGAGACATATTTAGGTACATGCCCACCTTGTAGGCTGACCAGTGTTTTGCATCATGATGAAGAGTATTTTCAGTCATATTGAACATGCTGACTAAAACTCATGATCGGTCCTTTGTGGTCTAGTGTTATCCTCTGACCACAAAACAAAAAGTTGGGACTTTTCTTTAATGCAGCTATGCTCTTCTCCAAGAAGATTTTCCTTTCTTAATACCATTTCCATGCTATTATCTCCCCTCCAAATTATTATTTTTAATATTAATATTTTATTCACACAAAGTAAAATGAGTAGACATTTTGACCCAATTATAGTTTAAACACATTTTAAAAATAAAGTAATCCCATTCACAGCTAGAAGGAAAACTATGTATCAAATTAAGGAACACACTTTTTTAAATTGTGGTAACATTGGTTTATAATATTGTATGAATTTCAGGTATACAGTTTTATATGCTGACATCTGTATAACTACATTGTGATCATCACCAAGAATCTATCCACTGCCATACAAGTGACCCCCTTTTAACCTATTTAACCCACCTCCCATTCCCCCTTCCACTCTGGTAACCACTATTTTGTTGTCAGAATGTAAGATTTTGTTTTGCATAAATATGTGGCATATGTGCACAATGAAATGCTATTCAGCTATTAAAAAAAAAGAAATTCTGCCATTTGCAACAACATGAATGCAACTAGAAAAAATTATGCTAAGTGAAGCAAGTCAGATGGAAAAAGAAAGATAGCAGATGATTTTAGTCATATATGGTAGATAAAGAAAAAAGCAAATGAACAAAATTGCAGTTAAAGAATATTGTACTGCAATTTTAGGATTACTGCATGTGTTACAAAGATGAATAATTCAGTAAAGATGAAAAATCATGAATTAATATTTTGATGGATGACAAAATGTATGCTAAATGCCAAGATGAGTCTGGAAAACTTGTAAAAAAAAATACAACAGATGAGGAAACTAAGGAATGGGAAGTTCTCTGAATTACTCAGGTTCTTCTACTGGGTGTAGACATTTTTAATGCTTTATTACTTCTCAGTGCTTACTCCAATAGGTTTGTATGTTGGTAAATGTCATACGTCATACCTTCTGCCAATAATGCATGATGCATGTTAGCATATAAAAGTCTCTGCAGTGAAGAACCTTAAGCATATATTTCCTGAACTTAATTTTTTTTGTCAGTTTATACCCTGAGGAGCTAGTGCTTTATGCAATACACTTTAGGAACTACTACACTAGATCTTGCAGTGGAATGACCACAGTTGGATGTCAAAGCCAGGAAAATACTGTCCTGAAGAGTCAGTGAAGAAAGAGAGGTTTTCACAGATGACAGGCAGTGGTGAAATATCAAAACATCAAAGAGGAGGATAAGAAAAATGCATTCATTTTTGTTTGGGATGGCAGCATTTGGAACTAGTTGTATGAAGTGCAGGCAAAAGTAGATCTCAGGGGTGGGAGTGATGGGATGTATTAACAGCAATTTGGTTTCATCCTTCTTTAAAAACCTATAAAGAGATTAAATAGAAACACTTAGGCTTTTATTCAATCACTCCCCAAATCCATTATCATTAAAACTGGACTGGAAGATTTATTTTTGGTAAGATAACATTTTTCCCCAACTGGGGAATGCAACCCTCATCAAAATTCCAGAAACTCCCATCAAAATCCCAGAAAGCACAACTTTATAGAATTTGCTAAGCTGACTTTAACATCCATGTGGAAATTCAAGGAATCTAGAATAATCAAGAACATTCTGAAAAAGAACCAAGCGAGATGATAGCTTTCCCTGACTTCTGGATTTATAAAGATGGGGTAATCCAAATTGCAGCATTGGTGTCATAATTGATTTTGGAAAGTCATTAAGTCAATGCAGAGATAGAAAAGAATTTGAATAATTTGAGTAAGCTCCCTAAGCATCCCCCGCCCACTGCTCCCCTCAGCAGTGTATTTCGTCAGTCTGCCTGTTCTGTTCCCTGCTCTGTCTCTGGTGAATCCTCTCACCCTCCCATGTATCAGGCCTGTGCCCCAGTTCTTTCATAAATAAATAAATAAATCTTTAAAAGAAAAATATCTTGGGATAATCACAATGAGTCTCCTGTGTGATACTCTATTTTCCTCTGCTATTGTGGTACCAAAGTTAGAGTGAATATTTCTTCTTATCTTGTGAGGAAATGAAAAAACAAAGTGGGGTGTCTTTTCAAGTCCTAGGTGCCTTGGGGGCTGTTTGGTCACAGTGCTAGAAAGCAGTGGAATGGGGTGCCAGGATGGCTGGTAGACAATGTGTCTCTATCCCTTGGGAGAGCAGGGAACAACCCAGAGAAAACACCTCTGCTCTTCCTAAGTGTCAAGGAAACCAGGCTCAGTTTCGGTTTGAAATCAGGGTCTGGGTGAATTGTCACTATTTCCAAAACATGATATTTTATAAGAATTGAGTGTAATGTTGAAAAAAATCAATTTAGCACAGAACTTTGGTATTCTCATCATCCTTAATTGCTGTCATCTCCTAAAACTTGGATTACTCCTCATCATGTATCAGAGGATTTTTCATAACTCAATTTTTGAAAAAGATCTGCAAATCCTCTCATTAAAACAGATGATGATATTTTCACAGATATTGCATGCCATTCTGCCTCATTATAGCAAAAATTGTGTTCAAGAAGAAAAATATTTATTTGTTAAATTAACAACCCCCGGGAGCTCCTTATTATTGGCATGGGATTCTCTTATTAAACAGTATGTCATGAACTGACTCTTCCTCAAAAGAAAATGTTAACAAATGCAGGAAACACTCATTCATTTTTATTCAATCAAAGTACATTTATAG